CCCCCCCCCCCCCCCCAAAAAAAAAAAAGACAAAAAAAAACAAAAAAAAAAACGCTGACTGCCTCAGGCCAGAACTCTGAGTCCCTGAGTCCCTGAGGTCAGAGGTCTAGGGGTCCTTGAAACTGGCCAAAACGCGGTGTTAAAGCTGCAACGAAACCTCTATTTTTGCAAAGGGAACTTCGAACGGACGACATTTTTGCTGCCAAACTTCGAAACAGCAATATTTTTGCTATTAACCCCTTTGTTTAATTTGCAGCGTTTAACAGGGGGACGCGGGAGCTCTGCTCGTGTGGGACGTAATAGGGCATAGTCGGCTCTGGACGTGATTGCAGTCAGATACATCCGGATTGGGTCGGTAATTGCGGCCAAATACATCTACGAAAGCAGCGTTTAACAGGGGGACGTGGGAGCTCTGCTCGTGTGGGACGTAATAGGGGATAGTCGGCTCTGGATCTGATTGCAGTCAGATACATCCGGAATGGGTCGGTAATTCCGGCCAAATACATTTACGAAAGCAGCGTTTAACAGGGGGATTCCGGCCAAATACATTTACGAAAGCAGCGTTTAACAGGGGGACGCGGGAGCTCTGCTCGTGTGGGACTTGATAGGGCATAGTCGGCTCTGGACGTGATTGCAGTCAGATACATCCGGAAGGGGTCGGTAATTGCGGCCAAATCCATTTACGAAAGCGTTAGTGTGAGTATGGGTCTTCTATTGGGCAACCGACTCGCACACTCCTAGTGACGGAGAGGTCGCTCTTAACCGAAGTGGGTACTAACATACATATCTTGTATTTGCCAACTGGCCCACATGTACTTGGCCTGACTTTACAGTCAGATAGCTCTTACGTCAGTGGATGGTTTTTTTTTTTTTTTTTTTAAGGTTTTCATTACACAAAATCTGAAGGAGGGGCCGGGAATTCCCCACATACAACCCGGAAGTAACCATTGACAATACTGGAACCATTACCCAGCTTAGGTGCAGGCATTGGGACTGTGTGGTCTAGTGACAGAATGGCCAAATCGGGACCGCTGTCCTGACACATCCCAACCCTGGGAAAGAAAATGAAAAATAACACAAAACTAGCTACAAGCCAAAACTCCAATCACAACCCACCAAATTGTCAGCCAACAAAAAACAAACAACAGCTTGAACAGAGCTAACAAAAGCTACTGAAATTTAACATCTATACTACTCTCTACTGTCGATAGAATACTATTCTACAAGAAGACAGAGCCTGAACCGTTCCTTCCCCTATCGTCACTAGGTCCTCAATCTATCTTATCAAATCCTCTTCTCTCTTGCCTAACCCGGCTTAGAAAGCTGGAGTCTACTATACTAATGGCGCTCATTCCACTAGTATCCCTTCTGCCAGCCTCCTGAGGCTATAAGCAACCGAGCGGCCCAGGTTGAGAATCTTACTCCTACTGTTGGAATAACCAGGAAGCCAATACTAATTGTCCTTCACCGAGCGGCCCAGGTTGAGAATCTTACTCCTACTGTTGGAATAACCAGGAAGCCAATACTAATTGTCCTTCACCATCAATCGAGGCAAAGGAACTGTTAACGCACCAAGTTTGACGAAACCATAACTTGTCACCGATTCTGTTGATGGGATGACTTTCCGCCGCCAGTCCGCCTTGATTGCTCTTCTCAGACCCTGCATCACTGTAGTCCTGATTTGTACATTGGTCCATTGCTTATCTTCAAATACTTGATCATTCTTGGTCTGCCAAATTACTGAAAACAGGAGTGCTCTTGCTGTCTGTGCTGTGTAGCCCCATCCCTTGGTGAGGGACAGACTATCTGGGATACCTCCAAGTGAAGTCCATACTTTGTCCCACTCCAACTCTTGGCCCGGTAGCGTGTTCCAGATGTTTATCCACCACTTCCAGATTCTGGCTGAGGCCGGAGAGTCCCACCACAGGTGGACTGTCGACTCGAATGCCCATTCACATTGTAAGCATTTTAAGTCCACTTCCATTCTCCTCTCCGCTAGCCACACTGCTGATGGGGTGGCCAGCATTGACAACAACCATAATATGGATGCCTGGCGCTGACAGGGAATTAACATGAGTTGTTCCCAACAGTTTTCCAAGGCTTTCCCAATTACATTCGGGTCACGATCCAATAACGCCTGCCATCTAGCACGAGCCATTGTGAGAGGGTTTTTTTTCGAGATAACAGCTTTATATCCAATACTCTGCGTATATTCCAACAAACATACATTAGTACTCCCTTCTCTTAGAGCCCTCCATTCCCACATGCAGGGGTCTAATTTTAAGGACTTGACGGGTATACCTTTCAACAGCAATGTGCAAGACTGTTTTCCTTCTGATGAGATAATTTTTTTGACGCGGATCTGAGAAAATATAGATCCCACTGTCGGGTGTTCATCATCGTCCATCTTCAACAGAACGTTATGTCCCCCATTTTCACATCCTTGAAACTTCCTGTTGGCATCGGACCGATAGTCTACCAACTTCCTCATTCGCGTATCCTCACCTTCGCAAACGAACCATGTTCCAATCGGTTCCACAGCAGTTGGATGCAGCTGGTCTTTCCAATGCTGAGAAACAGCTGCTATCAACATAGACAGTTTATGACCTACATTCCTCATGTGCCCAAGTGACTCGCGTACCTCCGAGTCCGTCTTCCATGTGCCAAGCAGGGTGTTCCAAATATCCCCAATCCTTGACACACATTTTTCTATCCATTTGCGACCAAAGCTGGTGCTATCAGCTTTGATTCATTCATGTCCCAGCAATCGTATCTTCGGATTCTCAAACAGGGGTTGAGCCAGGATCTCTGCTTTTGTGACAAGTTCTACCCAGACATCTGGTCTGAGTTTTTTCCTAGCTGCAATAATCGCTTTCCAGAATGGTGATTTGATTTGTCTTCGTTGGAACGAGTATAGCAGAAGACAGGTCCATACATCTTGTGGTCGCACTAGGTTCCACTCCGATGCAAGAATATACTTGGTCATTCCCACCCAATGAGGGGCTGGATTCACAGTGCTCGCATGGATCGGCCATCTGATCAGCATCGCATTGATCTGCTTTGAGGGATCGAGTAATCCCAACCCACCTTTGACTCTAGGGGTACATATCATCTCCTAGGCTACTTTGGAGATAAACGAATCTTCTTCTTGGGCATACGGTTTCCAAATGAACTTCGCTGTCTTTCTCTTGGTTAAGGCATACAGCTGCTTACCAAGTGCTCTCATTGTCCCTACATACCATAGTAATGCGAACAGTGCACCATTTACAACTAGTGCTCTGCCGAAGAGGGATAAGTGGGGGGCTTTGCCCCATGTTGTCATCCTGTGCATTGATTTCTGCAACAGTAGGTCGTCCTGATCTCCTTCACAGTCCAATAGTGAGATCTGGACCCCCAAGAAACGCTCAGACTGGCTGCCATTCACTCGTTTCATACTCCACTCACACGTGATTGTGAATTCCATCGGGAGGAGATATGCTGACTTATGCCAATTTACCAGTGCTTCCGAGAGGTTGGAATAAACGTCCAGTTCGTGCTTCAGAGATCCCTGCGATTCTGGCGTGTTCTCAGATATCGCAAACAGGTCATCAGCCAATGCTTTGACTTTACATTGCGAGGTACCTACCTGAAGGCCTTTGATTCGCACATGAGCACGGATGTTGTTCAACAACACTTTCATTTGCGTTGCAAACAGGAGTGGTGTTAATGGGCATCCCTGTCGTAACGACCGAGTGAGACTAAACGGTTTAGAGACCTGTCCATTAATTATCTCTGATGTTGTGGAAAGTGAGTACATAGCGACAATCCATTTACACAAATTGTCTCCAAATCCCATTACTTTCAAGGTTGTGAGGACATATGACCAATTCACACGGTCATATGCCTTCTCTAGATCTAGTAACAAAACTGCGACATTCAGAGAATCATTCTATACAATCCAGTGTTTCAATGGCCGTAACTGTATTATCAAAAATCGATCTACCCTGCACGAATGCTGCCTGATCATTACAAACGAATGAAGGGAGATATTTTGCTAATCTTCTTGCTAATATTTTCGCAAGCAACTTGTATGAAACATTTAGCACGGAGATTGGTCGCCAGTTTCGAATTTTCGCACGGTCACCTTTCTTAAACATAACAGAGATGATACCATGTCGCATATTTTCCGACAGCATTGAACCTGAAAGTGTCTCATTATAGATTTCAACTAGGTTAGTCCCCACCTCACTCCAGATTGCCAGATATAGTTCTTCGGGGAGACCATCGTCTCCAGGGGCCTTACCTTTGGCCATAGCTTTCAAAGTTTTCAAGGCCTCCTTTGTCCGGCCGTCTAAGTCCAATCTTCCTGTAGTTGAAACCGTGTTATTCCAATGATCGGACTCTTCATTCAGGTTGTTTGTTACATCAACACCTTGTAACCTTGACGTCAGAATATCCTGGTAATAGATCACAGCATACTCACACAGTTGTGT